CCAATGTGTTCTTGATGTCTCTTTATGTTCTCTGTCCTGGATTACTAGCACTAACAACCCCTTCACTTCTACCGAACCCTCCCTAACATCTGCCACCAATCAGATCAGGGTGGCCCACCTTTATCTGAATGAAAGCTGAAGGGATCGCTGTAACTGAGCCTTTGGTTCTGTGTCTTTGTTCTTACTGAGGTAGGTGGTCCTCTTGTCTTTGTTGAGACACTTTGTGGTGTTGGACTCTTCTATGGGCAAAGCGGCGCCATTTTTACAGTTTGTGCCTCAGCTGTAATTACCCCGAGCAACCTGCTGCTGCGTGCAGGGTCCAGAGCCCGCAGACTTGCCTCTGAACCATGACTACGATGCTCTGGCATTAAGTGACGATGAAGTGGCCAATGTCGATGAGATTTAAGTGGGATTTAAAAGTAGAAGAAAAATCAAGTCCTTCTATAGTTTAAAGATACCTTTTGAGGTTACGTTGAATTACTGAAAAGTTAGAAACTACACTGATTGTAAAAGACAGCTTTAGAACACAAATAAGTGCATACTTTATGACAGTATTACCAATTTATCAGTGTTACATTGCATCTCTTTATAATAATTATTATTAATCATATAACCAAAGCTTGATACTTTTTTAAAAAAATTATCCCCTCCTGAGTAGATTGTCATTTCAAGGGTTTTTAAAGAGTTGCCAACATTTTAATGTTATGTTCTAATCACATGATTAACTGTCAATATGTTCCTTGTGTGGAAAAAAGTTTACTTGGGCAGAATGTTCATTATCTTCACTTTAGGCAGTTTTAACAAGAAAGGAAATAAAAAAGAGCTTGGCAACCATGTGGGCTTCTTGCCTTATGTAAGCTGGCTTACAGCCCACCTCCTGTGGGTAGAGCAGAAAATGGAAGGGCAAGAAATGGTGGTGCCAAACTCCTACCCGTAGTTCCAAATGGAGAGAGAAGTAGGAATCCATCATGTGCATAAACTAATGAAAGAAGCGAATACATGCTCAAGGCCACAGTGTTTGCCCTTCCTACTCCGTGCCTCTGATAGCTTATGCATCTTAAATCCCCAAATGCTAGTTAACAAGGAGGAAGAGTTTATTCTGATCAGCAGGCACTTGGGTAGAGCCATGCAAACTTCACAGTTAAGAAGTGAGACCCGGGACCTGGCTACGTTTCCGAGTTCCATTGCTGGCTTTTACTCTGCAATGACCCCTGGTGGTGGGAGACGGACAGGATATATATAGATGTACGCAAGATTCTCCAGGACTCAGGAAGCCACGAGGAATGTGTTCTATGAATTCATCTGAATGATTAAATCCCTCAGGCCCCTTCTTCCTGGAGAGGATGTCCTAGCAGGAACCTTGGCCTGAACATGAAAACTTTTGTTTTTGTCTCTGTATTGTATCAAATTTTGTTTTATTAGAGTTTAGCACAGACAGCTAGTTACTGGGCAATCTCTGCTAAATGCCAGAAGCATCTTTAGATCCACATGTTTAAGCTTGACACACACATTTATCTGGATCTGTTCCTGTAAGACTTTCCTATGTTGGTACCTTATCCCCATCATTGTCTCCATTCTAAGGAACTGCCCAAGGACTCTTCATCCCTCTCATTTGCAATTGTAGGAATAAATCAGCATAATGGTTGTAAAGGGCTTTGAAAAAATAAAAAATGCAATACAATGCAAAACAAATTTGTGTTTTATTGTTTTCTCTTCACATTTTACTACATTTCTAAATGATTATCATAAATGTAATTTTCAATGTTTTCCCCTTTTACTTTATCTTGAAAGAAAAGAACTATTGAAAATGGGAAGACTTTGAAGAATGACAAAGAAGTAAGTGTTGGTTTTCCTGTCCAGTCTCCTTGATTCCATAATTTCCACTGACAAAGAAGAGAGGACGAGTGTTCCAGGTAGAGTGAACTATAGGAGCAAAGAATCAACATGCACGACATGGAGAGAACAATGGAGTAAAGCTTGAACACTTGGTCTGGGGACGAATCGTGAAGGCTCTTGAATGCCATGATAGTTGGAGTTGGGCTTTGTTCCATGGGCAACAGGGAGCCCTCAAAGGCTTCAAGAGATGAGAGATGTGATCACACTTATCCTTGAATTAAGTGACTTTGGAATCAATGTTGAGAATGGATTGGGGAAAAGTCCAGAATACCAGGTAAGAGGGCACTTTAAATAATTTAAGGGAGAAGATGATGGCCCACATTAAAGCAGTTTTGGTATAAATGAGCCATATCTGAAAATTTATGTTGGAGAAAGTATTTATAGACTTAGCCATGTGAAAGGAAAAAAGATAACTTGGGGGAAAATAATGCCCTAAATTATGAGCCTGAACAAGAGGGGTATTAATCAAGAAGGAATTCATTGTAAGAGAGAGCTTTAGTGTGTCTTGTGTTAGAAATGTGGAAGTGTCCTTGTGACATCCAGATGAAGGTGTCCAGATAGCTAGCATCTTGGGGTTGGGACTCAGCAAAAAGGTTGCAATGGAAGATAAATATTTGGAAATCATCAGTATAGTCAAGATAGGGGAAATTTCCAAAGTAGATGAGGTTGACAACAGGGAGAGAGTATAGCATGGAGGAAGAGATGGCCCAGGACAGAACCTTGTAGTGGAGGAGTTGCCAGGGAAGGCCGAGAAGGTACCATCTAAGAAAGAAAGAGCATATTGCAGAAGCCAAATAAATCGTTTTCAAGAAGGAGCCATTGTTTAGAAAGAAAAACCTAAGTAAACATTAAGTTTGGGCCATAAGGAAATCACTGGTGGCCTTTTGAGAAGACAGTTGCCAAGGAGTGAGAGGCCAGAACAAAACTCTGGTTGTTGAGGCATGGGTGGGAGGCCAGCAAGGACACTGGAGCACAAAAGCTGCTCTTGGAAGATTTTGTACTGAAAGAAAGAAGGGAAATGTAGCTTGAAGGTTAGAAATGTCTATTTGTATAGTTAATCAGTTTGCAAGCACTTTTATATCTGCTAGCTTACTTGACTCCCAAGACAATTCAGGAGGTAGAAAGGGCAAGTAATTGATGTACCTGGGGACAAAACGAGGTTAAAAGTCTTGCCCAAGGTCCTCTATAGCAAATAAATGGAAGAACTGAGTTTAGAACTCAGGTTACTTGGCTCTTAATCCAATCATCTCTCTATTGTGCCAAAACAGAGCATTTCTAAAATGTTTGCTCCTGAAGGGCATTGAGCTCCCTGTTAAAAGGATTTTGATCTTATCCAGGGGACACTGAGGAGCCACTGGAAGCTTTTGCACAAGGGACTGCCATGTTCAAGTCAACTCCTGAGGGAGAAATTTATCAGGAAGGTGTAGGATGTCTAAGCAGAACAGACACACCTCAGGGGTAGGCCGTTAGGACACCGCTTCGCACAAGGGCACAGCTTAAATAAACATCAAATATATGTTGAGAAAGTTCCTTCCCAATCAGTTCTGGTCTTGGTTGGCCAGTATCTTTTTTTTTAAACGTACTTTATTGAGTTATAGTCATTTTACAATGTTGTGTCAAATTCCAGTGTAGAGCGCAATTTTTCAGTTACACATGAACATACATATATTCATTGTCACTTTTTTTTTCACTGTGAGTTACCACAAGATCTTGTATATATTTCCCTGTGCTATACAGTATAATCTTGTTTATTTATTCTACATATGCCGGTCAGTATCTACAAATTTTGTACTCCCAGTCTGTCCCTTCCCACCCCACTGCCCCCTTGGCAATTACAAGTTTATATTCTATGTCTATGAGTCTGTTTCTGTTTTGTACTTATGTTCTTTTTTTAAGATTCCACATATAAGTGATCTCATATGGTATTTTTCTTTCTCTTCCTTGGCTTACTTCACTTAGAATGACATTCTCCAGGGACATCCA